CCATAGGGCTCGAACCCAAGAAGTAACTCACTTTGTCAGCACGCTTCACAAATGTTTCAATATTGTCAGAGGGTCTGGTGATTAGACTGTTGGGTTCGCAATTGAGAGATCATGGGATTAAAACCCACGCGGGGCCCAACAACGTTGTGTGTGTCCTTGGGGAAAGGCACTTTACATGAACTTTCCACAATTCACACACACAAAAAACCCCCAGAAAAAAACAAAACAAAACAAAACAAAACCCCCCAAACAACTCAGCCTTTAAATCAAATAACGCGCCAAAAACAGAACAAGGAAGTCTATAAAGATATAGCAGCTGACGTTTCAACTTTTGTACTTTCTTGGGTCGTATCGACTTGGTTTTATGTTTTATTACGCCCACTTCAACTCTTGTTTGATCATTTCAGAGGCAGGACCTTAAATTTCACTTCCTTGTCCGACAGGATTGAAGCAAGTGAGTACAAATAGTACTGAAAACTCGTCAAAGAACCAAAGTTGAAGAACGCCGCGTGAGGGATACGAAACGTGATCATTTGCATTTTGCATCGTATTCCAGCTGGCATGGCACTTACCGAGTCAACAATGTACATACCCTTTCCCCTGTCCTACTCCAGATAGTCTTCAGTCTTTAAAAGACAAAATAGAAATAAACTATATTGTTGACTAAAGCTTTGATAAAAGACATCCATCATGTTTTTATTCTTCTTTTTTTTAAAAGAATTGTGTAAACATTCTGGGGTTGGTTTTTTTAGGTTTTAAGTCACAACCTATAAGAACAACAGCAGCAAGAGGAGGAGCAGAATCTGTTTCAGCAAAAAGACATCAGCAAAATAACAGCAGGGGAATCTACAGCCTCAATTGTAAAAAAAAAGTAAAGTATGCATGATTAAAAGCATCCAAACCCCTCCTCCCCCTACCCCCCGAAAAAACATCTGCTTTAGAATAAAATAAAATAAGTACGAGTAAATAAATAAAAACGAACTCTATGAAAGACAGTCCTAGTAAACCCCATCATTCCGAAGTTTCAGACGCATGGTCTTGCGCTGTTTTGCCAAGCCTCAGATTATGTTCCACCTACTGTACAGAACGCATTACCAGTACCATACTAAAGATACTTACTTACAATAATGCAGTGCTTGTCAGTTGCCAGAGTGGGCTCCATTTCCCCGCTGTCTCAACTCGCCTTGCCTGATTGGCGATTTACTGCACACATTTGGCGCACTTTGTTTCGGAGAGTTCCGGCCAATTAGTTGTGCCGTAGCCGCCCACTTTACGGTGCCGCGGTGAGATAGTTACCCTCGCCGCTAGGGACCTACGCCCATTAGTTCTGGGGTGTCTGGTAGGAATGCGACTCTGTCGTTGTCTGGATATTCAGGAATCCGAATGAAAGTTTCTCACGTCTGCTGATCTTGTCCATAGACATACGTGCTATTGTGGTAAGAGTTTGAGAATATTAATATTAATAGAATGAGTCTGTGGTTTTGGCCGAGAGAGCTAGGATTTACCTGACTTTCATATCGTGTGGTTTGGTGTGCGTGTGTGTGTGTGTGTATATGTATATGTGTGTGTATGTGTGTGTGCGCCTGTGCGCGTTTGTGTGTGTGTGTGTGTGTGTGTGTGTGTGTGTGTGTGTGTGTGTGTCGCAGATTATGAAATGAGGCGAGGTTGTAACAAAGACAGCCTACAAGGACACCAATAGATGAACAAATTGACTGGCAGACAGACTGATGCGGGGACATATGCCTCATTAAAAGGAAACAGTATTCCTCAACGGTTGTGATGGTAACACTGGCAACAACCGTCAAAGCAACGATAGCAACAATGCCCCCGGCCCGTCCAGGAACATAAAGAGAATTGATTATACATGTATCTGCACCATAGTCACTACCACTGGAATCCATACTACCTGTAACTAAAACTTGACGACAGCAACAAGAATGACTAGAACCACAACAACGTGCTTAACAATAACAATAGCATCAATAACAACGATTACGACAACCGCAATAACACCAGTAACAATAACAGCAGCCACCACCACCACCACCAACAACAACAGCAACAACCATAACGTCTACAGAATCATCGTATTATGAACATCTTCACTATCAACTTCAAAGCCACCATCACGACAAATAACACGAACCACGGTACCACCACCACTACCACCACCACCAACAAACAACAGCAATAACCATAACATCTACGGCAGCATCATATGAACACCTCCACTACATTTGTATCAACTTCAAAACCACGATCACGACAAATAACAGCAACCACGCTACCACCACCACCAACACCACCACCACCACCCACTTCAACAACAACAACAGCAACAACAACCATAACATCTACAGCAGCATCATATGAACTATCAACTTCGAAGCAACCGTCACGACCAACAATATCAGCCACATAAACCGCACCCAATAAAAGCAACACTTATCTCCTCCTGTTCCCGACTCCGCTGGCACTCGCTTCCACCCCCTGTAGAGCTGCTGGCACTTTCTGGGGTCTGGGTCTTCTCATAACTGACCACTGCTAGCGATTGCAACAGTAACAACATCAGCAGCAGCAGCAGCAGCAGTATTAGCAGGAGCAACAACAATAACAACAGCAACATCAATATAACTACAACAATGGCAGCATCAGCAGCAGCAGCAGCAACAACAGCAATAACAGCAACAGCAAGAGCAGCAACAGCGAATTCAAAACTTCAACGATGTCGCAAACGCCTATCAAAGGTACTCACGCCACTTCCATAATAAACCGTCAGCAACGACAACAACAACAACATCACCACCGCCGATACTACAGTAACAACAACAATAGCCACAATATCACCATCTTAACACCCGACTCACCATCCACACCACCAACACTGTACCAGAGAGTTTTTCTCTTAACCCTCTCTGACAATACACAACGATTCTCCCTCTCTCTCTCTCTCTCTCTCTCTCTCTCTCTCTCTC